GATCGGTTTTGAAATCCTGCGCGATCTCCCGCACAAGTCGTTGAAAGGGCAACTTGCGGATAAGTAACTCCGTAGACTTCTGATAACGACGGATTTCACGGAGTGCAACTGTGCCTGGTCTGTAACGGTGAGGTTTCTTCACGCCACCCGTAGCGGGAGCACTCTTGCGGGCCGCCTTAGTGGCTAACTGTTTACGAGGAGCTTTTCCACCTGTTGATTTCCGGGCGGTTTGCTTGGTACGAGCCATAGCCAACAAGATTGGACGCTTCAGTCTAGTAATCTTCAGAAATTTAACGCTTTTCTCGCGATCTCCAGTGACAAAACCGATTTTATAACAAGCGCTCAACGATCCGATTGGTTATCCAAAGTTTGCTTGTGATTGGCTGCGGTGAATTTCTTTGTTCGGGTACTCTTTTTTTCCGAGGACGAGGCGGAAAGTAAATTTTAGTAAACTCTGACCTGCAATTTTTCTCGAAACTGCCCTCGGTTTTCAGTCGCTCGCCTTCAGTGAGTACTCTCGAAAAAGTAATAAACTAATTAGTGAGTGAGTGAGTGAGTGAGTGAGACTGAATTTGACCATGGATTACTTTGAAGGTTGTGAGTCATTTTCGCTATCCTTTAGCGTGGCCGTGTAGATAAGTGATAATGGTATTCATAAGTCGGCATTTGGCCTGGCTCTCTTGTCAATTGGAAATGTGACGTTTCCCGAGAGGTCCAGCCACACATCTCAAGTTTTGTTCAGGGCCGACAACAATTGCATCCGTAACATTCGAAAGAAAAACAAATCATGTCTGGACGCGGCAAAGGAGGTAAAGGGCTTGGAAAAGGGGGCGCCAAGCGCCATCGAAAGATTCTGCGAGACAACATCCAGGGAATCACCAAGCCAGCAATCCGACGTCTGGCTCGCCGCGGTGGTGTCAAGCGTATTTCCGGGCTTATTTACGAAGAGACCCGCGGAGTCCTCAAAGTCTTCCTGGAAAACGTTATCCGTGATGCTGTGACTTACACCGAACACGCCAAACGGAAGACCGTTACCGCAATGGATGTGGTCTACGCCCTTAAACGCCAAGGCCGTACCCTATACGGTTTTGGCGGGTAGAGAATCACGGAAACCTCAGAGAACTGATAAACGGCTCCTTTAGGAGCCACCACCTCATGCGAAAGTCGTGATCAGCCACAGTGATGGTCAAACCCTGTGTTTGAACAACGAGTCAAAGGGCGATATTATTCTGCTCTCAACGTTTCTCCTAGTCCTTGTGTTAGCGTTAATGCAGTGTAAAATAGTCTCTCGTTCCAACAGGGAACTGGGATGGCAGGAAATAGGAAATAGGAAATAGGAAATAGGAAATAGGAAATAGGAAATAGGAAATTGGAGTTTCAAAAGCCACGCAAAGCTGGGTTCAGCGAACGTTCTACTCAAATTCTATTACGTTTCCACGCAATGGAACCACGCGTGATCGCGTTCACTCAACGTTTCTCCTAGTCCTTGTGTTAGCGTTAATGCAGTGTAAAATAGTCTCTCGTTCCAACAGGGAACTGGGATGGCAGGAAATAGGAAATAGGAAATAGGAAATAGGAAATAGGAAATTGGAGTTTCAAAAGCCATGCAAAGCTGGGTTCAGCGAACGTTCTACTCAAATTCTATTACGTTTCCACGCAATGGAACCACGCGTGATCGCACCGTTCTCCAAGTACGTTAGTTCTGATCATTATGAGAACGCCGACACCACACATTTCGAGTCGCTTGTCTTGCTTTGCAAAATTAGCCCCACCTGGGAAGCAGAAAAGTACCTCGTTCCTTTTTGGAACGGGGATGGCAAGGAATAGAAAAGATTAAAGCGGATTTGCAACAACCACGCAAACTTGGAATCAGCGATCGTACCATTCAAACTCAAATGCGTTTCTCTGTCTTGATAGGTAGGAAGGCAGTTTATGCAAGTCGCAAATTCCACGCTCCAACAATTGAAAGAGAGACAGTAGCGGGCTGCAAATGTGTCGAGGCATTTTGCAAATCCAAATTACCATCGTCCAACCAAACGAACGAAAACAAAGTCGCCGGCAATGTTTCCAAAAAAAGCAAAGCTGATTTGAATTGTCTTTCTTGCCTTCTGTTTGATTTGACTTGCTTTTTATTTGTTTAACTAGTTCGGGATCAAAAATGCGGAATGTAAGCGATGGACACTAGGTGAACTGAAACGATTTGTTTTGATCGATAACAAAGTAAAGACGCGAGCGCTTGTGTGTGCATGTACGAGTGTCAATTGGAGTAAATGGATTTTTCACTGATCACGACTTTTTTCGAGGTTTGGTGGCTCCTAAAGGAGCCGTTTTGAAGTTTGATGTTGTCAATGGTGCTTCTTCTCGGCCTTCTTGGGTAGCAGCACGGCCTGTATGTTGGGAAGAACACCGCCCTGGGCGATCGTTACACCAGCTAGAAGTTTGTTCAATTCCTCGTCGTTTCGGACGGCCAACTGCAGGTGTCTGGGAATGATTCTGGTCTTCTTGTTGTCACGAGCGGCGTTTCCGGCCAACTCTAGAATTTCAGCACTTAGATACTCGAGCACAGCGGCCAAGTACACGGGAGCACCCGCCCCGACACGCTCTGCATAGTTTCCTTTGCGAAGGAGTCGGTGGATGCGGCCGACTGGAAACTGAAGACCTGCTCGGCTCGACCTGCTCTTTGCCTTGGTGCCCGACGCTTTTCCTTTCCCTCGGCCGGTCATTTTAGTTTTCTCTCTCGCAAACTAGCTCGTGCTTGGACACACACTGAAATCCAACGATTTTGTTGTCTAAATTGTGACGCCTTCCGAGTCGTGACGCCGTACTTATCTCGCGGCTCGCGCGCGCTAACGGATCGAAACCCTCCAATCAAAATAATTCCGCCCTCTGTTGCCTCTCAGTCTTTTGTTCCTTTCACAGCTGTATCTGAGCCAATCGCTTCAAAGAGAATTTTCGTTGGCATACTAATTGATCCTCAACAATGGACCTTAAATAGGGAGTAAATTCTCCTGTCTAGTCACTCACCTCAGTCTATTTTTGAGAGAACGGTGATAGATTTCTCTAGACATGGCACCAAAAGTTCCCGCGGCCGGAAAAGGCGAGAAGAGAGCAGGCAAGGCTAAATCAGCCCCGACAGACCCTGGCAAGAAAAAGAAGAGAAGCAAGAGAAAGGAGAGCTATGCGATCTACATCTACAAAGTGTTGAAACAGGTGCACCCCGACACCGGTATCTCCAGCAAAGCCATGGGTATCATGAACTCGTTTGTCAACGATGTCTTTGAACGCATCGCGACCGAATCCTCGCGGCTCGCGCACTACAACAAGAAGTCCACCATCAGTTCTCGCGAAATCCAGACCGCCATTAGGTTACTGTTACCGGGCGAACTCGCAAAACATGCAGTAAGCGAGGGTACAAAAGCAGTCACCAAATATACAAGCAGCAAGTGAACTGCCCGACCTCACAAACAAACGGCTCCTTTAGGAGCCACCACATATCATGAAAGTAAATGTCCAACATTGTTGTTCTTTGTGATAAGAATACATGAAAGTCATATATTGTTCATATGTTGTTCTTTCTTTCCAATGAATTGTAACGTCGGTACAAATTATACGAACGGCTAAAAGCGCAAAATGGTGACCTTTATGTTTGTCTAGTTCGAGCAAACTCGCGGAAAACGCATCAAAACAGTTGACCTCCGTCGCTGCTCACTTTCTGTCAAATTTTTGTCGCCAATCAAACCGAGAGTCGATCGCTCGAATGTTCTGACAAGATATCTTTTTTTCTACGTCGACATTTTTCCGCAGAGGCGGGTCACCTTTGGAGACGTGGTCATTGATTTTCTCTGTTGCTTCATGACAATAATGCGAGTTTTTCACTCGCGTAACAAAAACCAAGAAAATGAAACAACAACCACAACAAAACGAAACGGAACACACACAGAAAAATTAAAGACGTGTAAAAGGAGATGGGCTGCTCATTGACCTTTAGGTTAGTGGTGGCTCCTAAAGGAGCCGTTAGTGTTTGTTTGATGACCAAGCGACTGTACTAAGCCCGCTCGCCACGAATCCTTCGAGCCAACTGGATATCCTTCGGCATGATGGTTACGCGTTTGGCGTGGATGGCGCACAGATTGGTATCTTCGAACAGACCCACCAAATAAGCTTCGCTAGCCTCTTGGAGCGCTAGTACAGCGGAACTTTGGAATCGCAGATCGGTTTTGAAATCCTGCGCGATCTCCCGCACAAGTCGTTGAAAGGGCAACTTGCGGATAAGTAACTCCGTAGACTTCTGATAACGACGGATTTCACGGAGTGCAACTGTGCCTGGTCTGTAACGGTGAGGTTTCTTCACGCCACCCGTAGCGGGAGCACTCTTGCGGGCCGCCTTAGTGGCTAACTGTTTACGAGGAGCTTTTCCACCTGTTGATTTCCGGGCGGTTTGCTTGGTACGAGCCATAGCCAACAAGATTGGACGCTTCAGTCTAGTAATCTTCAGAAATTTAACGCTTTTCTCGCGATCTCCAGTGACAAAACCGATTTTATAACAAGCGCTCAACGATCCGATTGGTTATCCAAAGTTTGCTTGTGATTGGCTGCGGTGAATTTCTTTGTTCGGGTACTCTTTTTTTCCGAGGACGAGGCGGAAAGTAAATTTTAGTAAACTCTGACCTGCAATTTTTCTCGAAACTGCCCTCGGTTTTCAGTCGCTCGCCTTCAGTGAGTACTCTCGAAAAAGTAATAAACTAATTAGTGAGTGAGTGAGTGAGTGAGTGAGTGAGACTGAATTTGACCATGGATTACTTTGAAGGTTGTGAGTCATTTTCGCTATCCTTTAGCGTGGCCGTGTAGATAAGTGATAATGGTATTCATAAGTCGGCATTTGGCCTGGCTCTCTTGTCAATTGGAAATGTGACGTTTCCCGAGAGGTCCAGCCACACATCTCAAGTTTTGTTCAGGGCCGACAACAATTGCATCCGTAACATTCGAAAGAAAAACAAATCATGTCTGGACGCGGCAAAGGAGGTAAAGGGCTTGGAAAAGGGGGCGCCAAGCGCCATCGAAAGATTCTGCGAGACAACATCCAGGGAATCACCAAGCCAGCAATCCGACGTCTGGCTCGCCGCGGTGGTGTCAAGCGTATTTCCGGGCTTATTTACGAAGAGACCCGCGGAGTCCTCAAAGTCTTCCTGGAAAACGTTATCCGTGATGCTGTGACTTACACCGAACACGCCAAACGGAAGACCGTTACCGCAATGGATGTGGTCTACGCCCTTAAACGCCAAGGCCGTACCCTATACGGTTTTGGCGGGTAGAGAATCACGGAAACCTCAGAGAACTGATAAACGGCTCCTTTAGGAGCCACCACCTCATGCGAAAGTCGTGATCAGCCACAGTGATGGTCAAACCCTGTGTTTGAACAACGAGTCAAAGGGCGATATTATTCTGCTCTCAACGTTTCTCCTAGTCCTTGTGTTAGCGTTAATGCAGTGTAAAATAGTCTCTCGTTCCAACAGGGAACTGGGATGGCAGGAAATAGGAAATAGGAAATAGGAAATAGGAAATAGGAAATAGGAAATAGGAAATTGGAGTTTCAAAAGCCACGCAAAGCTGGGTTCAGCGAACGTTCTACTCAAATTCTATTACGTTTCCACGCAATGGAACCACGCGTGATCGCGTTCACTCAACGTTTCTCCTAGTCCTTGTGTTAGCGTTAATGCAGTGTAAAATAGTCTCTCGTTCCAACAGGGAACTGGGATGGCAGGAAATAGGAAATAGGAAATAGGAAATAGGAAATAGGAAATTGGAGTTTCAAAAGCCATGCAAAGCTGGGTTCAGCGAACGTTCTACTCAAATTCTATTACGTTTCCACGCAATGGAACCACGCGTGATCGCACCGTTCTCCAAGTACGTTAGTTCTGATCATTATGAGAACGCCGACACCACACATTTCGAGTCGCTTGTCTTGCTTTGCAAAATTAGCCCCACCTGGGAAGCAGAAAAGTACCTCGTTCCTTTTTGGAACGGGGATGGCAAGGAATAGAAAAGATTAAAGCGGATTTGCAACAACCACGCAAACTTGGGATCAGCGATCGTACCATTCAAACTCAAATGCGTTTCTCTGTCTTGATAGGTAGGAAGGCAGTTTATGCAAGTCGCAAATTCCACGCTCCAACAATTGAAAGAGAGACAGTAGCGGGCTGCAAATGTGTCGAGGCATTTTGCAAATCCAAATTACCATCGTCCAACCAAACGAACGAAAACAAAGTCGCCGGCAATGTTTCCAAAAAAAGCAAAGCTGATTTGAATTGTCTTTCTTGCCTTCTGTTTGATTTGACTTGCTTTTTATTTGTTTAACTAGTTCGGGATCAAAAATGCGGAATGTAAGCGATGGACACTAGGTGAACTGAAACGATTTGTTTTGATCGATAACAAAGTAAAGACGCGAGCGCTTGTGTGTGCATGTACGAGTGTCAATTGGAGTAAATGGATTTTTCACTGATCACGACTTTTTTCGAGGTTTGGTGGCTCCTAAAGGAGCCGTTTTGAAGTTTGATGTTGTCAATGGTGCTTCTTCTCGGCCTTCTTGGGTAGCAGCACGGCCTGTATGTTGGGAAGAACACCGCCCTGGGCGATCGTTACACCAGCTAGAAGTTTGTTCAATTCCTCGTCGTTTCGGACGGCCAACTGCAGGTGTCTGGGAATGATTCTGGTCTTCTTGTTGTCACGAGCGGCGTTTCCGGCCAACTCTAGAATTTCAGCACTTAGATACTCGAGCACAGCGGCCAAGTACACGGGAGCACCCGCCCCGACACGCTCTGCATAGTTTCCTTTGCGAAGGAGTCGGTGGATGCGGCCGACTGGAAACTGAAGACCTGCTCGGCTCGACCTGCTCTTTGCCTTGGTGCCCGACGCTTTTCCTTTCCCTCGGCCGGTCATTTTAGTTTTCTCTCTCGCAAACTAGCTCGTGCTTGGACACACACTGAAATCCAACGATTTTGTTGTCTAAATTGTGACGCCTTCCGAGTCGTGACGCCGTACTTATCTCGCGGCTCGCGCGCGCTAACGGATCGAAACCCTCCAATCAAAATAATTCCGCTTGCCTCTCAGTCTTTTGTTCCTTTCACAGCTGTATCTGAGCCAATCGCTTCAAAGAGAATTTTCGTTGGCATACTAATTGATCCTCAACAATGGACCTTAAATAGGGAGTAAATTCTCCTGTCTAGTCACTCACCTCAGTCTATTTTTGAGAGAACGGTGATAGATTTCTCTAGACATGGCACCAAAAGTTCCCGCGGCCGGAAAAGGCGAGAAGAGAGCAGGCAAGGCTAAATCAGCCCCGACAGACCCTGGCAAGAAAAAGAAGAGAAGCAAGAGAAAGGAGAGCTATGCGATCTACATCTACAAAGTGTTGAAACAGGTGCACCCCGACACCGGTATCTCCAGCAAAGCCATGGGTATCATGAACTCGTTTGTCAACGATGTCTTTGAACGCATCGCGACCGAATCCTCGCGGCTCGCGCACTACAACAAGAAGTCCACCATCAGTTCTCGCGAAATCCAGACCGCCATTAGGTTACTGTTACCGGGCGAACTCGCAAAACATGCAGTAAGCGAGGGTACAAAAGCAGTCACCAAATATACAAGCAGCAAGTGAACTGCCCGACCTCACAAACAAACGGCTCCTTTAGGAGCCACCACATATCATGAAAGTAAATGTCCAACATTGTTGTTGTTTGTTTGTTTGTTTGTTTGTTTGTTTGTTTCTTTTCTTTTTCGAGTCTCTGATTTTTATTCAGTCAAACTCAGTTTCAGTGAACATGTTTTGCTTTCCGTCTGCTTTACTGCCCTCGGTTTTTTATTCGCTCGCCTTCAGTGAGTACTCTCGAAAAAGTAATAAACTAATTAGTGAGTGAGCTAGTGAGTGAGACTGAATTTGACCATGACCATACCATTGTCCAACCAAGAAAGATTGGACGCTTTAGTTTCGTAATGTTCAGAAATTTTACGCTTTTTTCGCGATCTCCTGTGACAAAACGGATTTTATAAAGAGGCGCTCGACCATCTGATTGGTTATCTAAAGTTTGTTTGTGATCGGCTGCGGCGAATTTCTTTGTTCGTGTACTTTCTAAGAGAGTGAGGCGGATAGTAAATTTTAGTAAAATCTGACCTTCAATTTTTAGATCACTTTCTCTATTCGGATCATTTGTACCTGTTGAAGCATCCTCTTTAGTAAAAGTAATGTAGTTCTCTAGTTGGAGTAGCAGTTACTTTATCAAAATCAGAGTCGTCGCCCTTTTGGTCGTCGCATTATCTTAGGGTTCACTTATGAGGTTTTTCCGCACTGCTCTGGTAAAAGAGGTTAAACTTTTCTCAAAGAAAATCCCTTTAAATTTACAGTTTTGAAGAAAACAAGTTATTATTCGACTTGTTGGTTCATGGATAACATTGTAAGTAGCTTAACATTCTTAAAACTATGCGAGTTATTTTTCTAAGCTTTATTATCTGTGAGGTAAATTTTTGTTTTGGACACGAAAACGGAGAAGTATTGCGTGATATATTTTCATGGCTCAAAAATAATTAATCAAGGATTTGGGTACTCGTAGTAAGGTGGGCGATTAAGTGTTTGGTAAATAATGAATGATGAAAGAAAAAGCGGTGCAAACCCATTTTTTGAAAGCAGTTTTTTTCGCGGTTCGTCGTGAGTGGTCGGCGTTAACCTCGCGGGATAAGAAATCCTGCAGCTTACACGACGTTCATCAAGTTTTGACCGCTGTCCTATAAACTTGTATGTTCGACCCTTTATGAATAAGATCGATCAACCGTTTTATAAGACGTTTTCGATGGTTATCCGCGGCCATACTGCCCCAGAGCTCTTGTATTTTTAAGTCATCGTTTAACTGCGTGGTTGCCTTATATCTCGACGAGGAAACATGTATTTAGTCAGTATCGTTAGCCGGAAAGTCATTTGTCGATCGAAAGATGGCTGACAATCCATGGAGGTGATTTCTTCGCTGCATTCAGAGACCTTCCCCTTCGCCCGGTAAGAAGTTTACACCACGCACACTTTCTTTCTGATCCGCTTTGTAACGCTTTTCCAGAATTACAAATCAAGCTTTGGTTTGATTTCTATCGTGGAAATTGTATAGCTGGGCTAACGTTCACTGGGTTTTCAGCCAAGTTGAATCGATTTCAAAATCTAAGGAAACAGACTATATGCACTATATATCTGTCTTCAAAGACACTAAAAATTACTCAAACTACAACTCACATTTAAGTTATCAGCAAGTTTGAATGTTTTATTTACGAAATGTTTTTCATTCAGGGCGTCAAGCCTTCGCTGAATATCCAAACTGACTCGATTCGCGCCAAAACTTTTGTCTGACACCTAGTTGTTATTCACCTTTAATCTGGGAACCATAGGGGAAAGAACTTTCTTATCATTTTTGTTTTTAAATGATTTATTTTCACCTCTCAATTTTTACTTTTGACTTGACAATGACCTGAAGTAACGGTGTAACGTCGTCGAAAATACTTTACGAACATTTTAATTAGTTTTATGTATTTTAATAACGTTTAGCGTACAACTTTGCAAAGAAAGGTTCCTCGAGTCTCTTCTTAATTTACATTAACCGATAGTTATCTAAGTCGTAGTTTTCAACAATCAAGCTCAAGTTGTGGGAGAAATTTTTTGATTAAAATTAAAAGAAAAAGAAAGAAGATTAAATTGCAAGAGTCTGGTCCCACTGCATTTGACATGGAGGAACTCGAACAATACAAACATTGGTCAGGATACCTATTTGTGCATAGTTGTCCCTTCTCACAGTCCATATTTTGATATGGATGTGGTTGTTATCAATGGCAACAAGAAGATCACCAACATGATTCATGTGGAAAATGCATTGCACCCAGTGAGCTCCACGCCCTAGAGCTCAGACCACCCCTGGAAATTCCAGAGAAAATGGCTGCCTTGATTAACACACAGACCACTGCCAAAATAATTTAAGATTTTAATGTCTTCAATTTACTCTACTGAAGGGAAACTTCATGAAGTTGCATGTTAAATAATAGACTTTCCCCTTGTCAAATTTTATTTTCGACTTGTGCATCAGGCTCTCTCAAAAAAAATTCTTAAGCTGGAGAACTGATTCAACTTCATGATGTACAGTGAGTCATTAGCAAGACTGCTTTCAGCCTTGAAAGTATTTATCAGTATGATAACTCTTTTTTACACTTTTATTCCATCGGAATCACCTAGAAAGCTTTCCCTCAAATACAACACCAAAAGACAGATCACAAATTTCTCCTCTTCAAAAGGAATCCTAAACTTTTCTAATGTTGGTCAATTTTGAATTTGGCTGCCATTGTGACATGTCACAAGGCGAAGATATAAAATTATTTTTTGCCAGTCACAAGTGAGAACAAACCAATTTTTATGCCTAAATGAAAAGTTTCACTTTTAACAATGCATATTTGTTCTTTGCTTTGGTAAACTTTTGCTCCAAGCAAGTTACAAGCAGGTGAACTTTGCAGAGGAGATTGTTTTGGTCTTCTGCAGTCAGGTTTGCAAGATGTAAATATTTTCCTTGAGTCATGAAGTAGTGCTTTGGGATTTTTTTTTTTTAGCCTTCAATAAACTTGTCAGAATCCCAGTACATTGCCAGCTGAGGAAGTTCATGGATTTTAATGAGAATGTTCAGCCCGAGATATGCTGAAATTTCCACTCGGGTTGTTGTGAACATTTGATCCCCTTTCGGATGTGCATAAGGGATGATTTTGTCAATATAAGCATCATCAATGAATACATTGAAGAAATCTTTGGCAGTTGCATTTTCTCCGAGATCTCTGGTCAGGACATGAAATGGACAATTGCTCAACATTACTTTGTTGCGATGTGCTAGACCACTGAAGAGCATTTGGTTGGCTCTCTTCAGCAGGAAATTTTTCATTGTTACTTTTCTTGCTTCTTTCTTCTTCTTCCTCACAAGCGTATGGCTCAACATTCGAATGGCTTCCCCTTTCTTGTGACTCTAGGTTGAAAAAGTCTTCCATCTTGTCATCCACATTGCAAAGCAAGTTTTGTTCTTGCTGTGTTTGACATGCTTGTCACATTTTTTCAATTTCTTTGTTGGTAAAGCCATTCACTGCTTTCTAATACCCAGAGTTTTGTTTCTAAACTACTTCTCATCATCTGTTTTGCATTCTTCACTTAGCCACTTCCACCAATTTTAGCCACCGGTTGTTTCTTTGCTTGATTTGAAGCGTGCCCTCAAACTTTTTTTGCATAAGGGCAGTCTTCACTATGACTTTTCAAAAAGAAGGTGGTTTTGAGGTTGAAATAACTTTTTCTTGATCGTAATTTTTTTTCCAGACCTTACTAAAATATGTTCAACATATTAAAAAAGTTAACAAGAACAAGAAGAATTAAGATAATAAATGTTAACAAAGATTATCTTAAATACTACAGCCAAGATGAAAAAAAAAAGGCATCCAGAGCATGCATGAGTGGGCTAGATATAATAAAAATACTTATAGCAAGATAGAATGAGATAGTTATATAAAGGATGTTTTGTTGTACTCTGGGTTTTGGCAAAAAAAAAAAAAAAACCAAAACATGAAGGGAACATTGTGCTGATAAACATTTCAAAGAACAATGAGGATTTGCTGAAAAAATACTGAAATTTGCAGATCATGGCAGCTTCAGTTTAAAAATGGCAAGGTTTGGGGGTATTTCTAGTGGAACTTTTTCTCTCTAGTCTCTTATGTATTATAATTATATAGAGTATAAAGCTAGCAAATCATAGTGTTCTGGTTCTTTGTTGGAATTGTTACCAGGTAAATAAATGAATCTGGATAACTGCAGTGTATTGGAGGAGGAGATGTGTATACTGTAAAACACAGCATAGATTCTAAAGTAGTCTCCCACACAGGCACTCTTAGGCCTTGTCACGCGTTTCTTCCCCACAGACTTACACAATTGGTCTCACTTTGTTTTATTGTAACAACTTTTAATAGCTCAGTAAGTGAAGTATGGTGTTTAAAGTGAACAAAAACTCATTTTATGGGCACCCAGGAGCAGAATAAAGACTGACTCATTTTCAGGGGAAGTGTTGTCTTACACATGAAGTAGACTTCATAAATTATTTGCTCTTAGCCTCAAATTAACAGAAAAAATAACAAATACTCAACAATATTAGCGCCACCATTCTGTTAGCTTGTCTACTGTGACAACTGTTGTAACCTTGCAATTCATTGTATAGCACTACACCAGGCAGTAAACTTCATCATTTTTTTATCTTCAGTCATGATTGTTATCTGTGCAATGAGCCTTTTTTGACATCCCTTGAAGTGTACTATTTCCACACATAGCGCATGTTATTATCTCATCTTGAGCTTTTTCTTGATGTATTGCCATGTTGCATACAATGCAGGATGTATTCCATTTTAAATGGACAGCTATGCATTGACCTTTAAGTAAATGCTCTTGTACTTTTGGTGTTGTTAGATTTATATCCTTTAAATATTCTATTTCTTCATAATCTGTCAAGCCTTTTGTATTTAAATATTTCTCATCCTCAAAAATTTTCACTTTTAAATCCTTGAAGTGGTATGACTTTCCAGCATGAATTTGGTTGATAATGTTTTCCCATAGCACAA